GGAGCCTGGACTCGGCCCTGGGGAGAAAGCTCCCCGAGGCAGCACCCTGCGCACCTGTGTAGGGCTGTGTCTCCAGCAGCCCAGGGGTGGGGAGAGCTCAGCAAACACCCAATGTGGACAGGGATCGACTGAGCCCAGACCTGGGATCCACGACGCTCTGCAGAGGGAGCAGGTGGCCAGAGAGCCGGGAATGGTGGAGAGAAGTGGGGGGTGCTTAGCCTGGGAAGAAGCAGTCTAAGAAAGACAGTCTTAAAAGGGCGGGGCGGGAGCCAGGACCCCCTCTGAGCGCTCCTGAATTGACGCTCCAAGAAACACTGACGAGCCCAAAGAGAGTGATGTTCCCCAAACCAACTGGCCCGGAGTCCACAGAAACGTCAGAGCTGTGCCAGGTAAAGACAGCAGGTGACCCTGGATTGGGTCCTGGAGCAGGAGAAAATGATCTGTTTGCTTATGTGCGAAAATGACATTATTGGGACAGGTGTGAAATCTGAACAGTCTGTAGATTTAGAGAATAGGATATAATAATACGTAACAGTGTTCGTTTTCTGCTTTGCTGTTTGGACTGAGGCTGTAAGGGCCGGCCCTGCTCCTGGGACACAGACACCAAGTGTCTGGGTGGACGGCCACGGGCTCTGCCACTTGCCCTCAGTGGTTCAGAAGCTAAAACACACACAGAAAGGGGGAGAGAAGGATCAGAGGAACACAGTAAGATATTAACAACCGGGCAACTGGGGAGAAGGAGTTCCTGTGCCATTTCTGTACAACTGAAACTATTTCAAAACAAAAGGTTACAAAACAGAAGGAAAAATCAGCACCCTGAGAGAAAAAAGGCTGGGTTGCAGTTCCCGATTCAAGGAGACTGAACAGACGGCGGAAAAACCGGGCTGGGTGACTAGTGGCCGACGGGGGCGTGAGCCCGGAGAGGGGGCAGCGGGTGCGGCGCCCCCGCGTTCACCTCCTGGCGTGCGGTCACGTGGCCCCGCGGGAGCCGTCCGTGCGCGGGCAGGCGCACGCTGGCCTCGGGGCGAAGGGTCGGGGCGCCTGCAACCCTCCCACGTGGTCCAGCGCAAATGCCCTTACAGGAAAGAGAGCGCGCCCACGTGCTCCAGCTGGGGGCGCCGGGGTTCTCAAGGACGCAGGCCTGCTCCCCCGCAGCCGAGTGCGGTGGAGGGGTCCGGGGTGGGGGAGGCGGCCTCCCTCTCCCCCCGCAGCCTCCGCATCCCCCTCGCCGCCTCCAGCCTTTCTCTCTCTGGCTGCAAGATGTCTCCGTGCGGCCCTACTAGAAGGTGGTTTTCATCCTTTAACGTTCCTTAAAGTGTCTAAACCGTGAATTGAACCGTCGCCCCTCTCTCCGACCCGCTGCCCTTTCTCCCTTCGCGAGCCAGGGAGCTTGTTCTGGATCCGCTGCCTCCGGGCGTTTCCTGGCGGCCCCGCCCACTTTGCCCTCCGCTCGGCATTCCCCATTGGGGGGCTCTGCCGCCCTCTGGTGGTCACTGCCCATAACACAGACCCCCCTCCTTCCCCGAGCGGCAGAACCTGAAACGGCTTTGCAGCCTCTCGTGTCCTAGGAGAGTTGGGGTCCCCAGAGAAACAGAACAATCGGATATAGGAGATTTATTTTAAGCGATTGGCTCACCTGACCGTGGGGCTGGCGAGTCCGAAATCCCTAGAGTGGGCAGGAAACTCCGGCAGGAGCTGAGGCCAGCTGTCTTGAGGCAGAATTTCTTCTCTGGAAACCTCAGTTTTGTTCTTAAGGCCGTCACCTGATTGGGTGAGGCCCCCTCATTATCCAGGGTCACCTCCTCTACTTAAAGCCAACTGATTGTAGATGCTGACCACATCTACCAAATACCTTCACAGCAACACATAGATTCGGGTTTGATGAAATGATTGGATACCCTAGGCTGAGGGAGTCGACACAGAAAACTGCCCAGAGGAGTTGGTTAACCGAAAAGATTACATGTTTAAGTGAAATTTCATGTCTCAAATTATATTGTCCTGCTGATGTCCAAATCCTGCTTTTAAAGGAAAACCCACCCTTTGGTAAGAAAAAGTCTGTAACAGCTTCTGAGAGTGTGAGGAGTAAGAACACAGAGGGGCACGGCGCGGGCGGGGCTGTCACAGGGCTGGCCCCTGGGGGTCAGTTAAGGTAGTCCTTGTCCCGGGAATTCCCTGCATGAGTCCTTGATGAAGCTGGAGAGGGAGAGGGAGAGGGAGAGAGAGGGAGAGACCTCACCCGCCAGGACAGCAGCAGGCCTCAGTCTCCCCGAGTGTGCAGGGAGCGGGGGCCGAGGCATCAGGACCCTCCTCAGTCTCGGGCTCAGGCAGGGTGTGTGCAGTGGGGTGTGGGGAGCTGAGCAGGTCTGGGCCCTCGGAATTCCTGACTTCCGTTTAGCGTCTTCAGTGCATGAGCAGGGTCCTGGGGGGCTGTGCAATGGGCAGGGGATATTTGCAGAGCGGCCTGGGGAGGTGTGATCTTGGGGTGGTCAGCCCCTCTGCCCCCAGTGGTGGGCTCACCAGGGACAGCGGGAAGGAAGGGGGGACCAGGCTGAGGAGGAGGGAAGCCAGGAGGGGGAGGCATCAAGACCCCGGGGGCGGGAGAGGGGGTTCTAGAAGGTCTGATTGGCCTAGATGCTGAGGGGTGGGGCGGACTGAGAAAGGGCATTGGATCTAGCGTGGAGATGGCGTGGTGGGGTGGACACCTGAGGCCATGGCCGGAAAGGCGGGTGGCAGGGGAGGGAACAGAGAGGAGGGCAGGCCACTAGTTTGCAAAGTTCTGAGCAGGGAGCAGAAGACAAGGAAACAGGACATCACTGGGAGAATTCCTCCCTAAGGAGAGGCTGGCCCATGTTGAAGCTGACAGGAGGGCACCAGGAATGGGTGGAGATGCTTGTTCAGCAAGGGCCCCCGAAGCTGCCAGGGGCGGATCCAGAACGCCCTCAGCGGGAGGGCGCCTCCGCCGTCGTGGGCTCTCAGCTCGGAGGAGACCCTCGGCACAGCTTGTGTGGGAGGGAAGCAACCAACTGACGGGATGACCCAGTGTGAGGCCCCGTCCTTTCTCTCCAGGAGCCTCCAGTTGGGAGGTTAAGCCGCCTCCCTGGGGAGAGCCCAGAGCCAGCGCGCCGGGGTGATTACTGTCAGTGGGCGCAGGGGAGGGACGGCAGGGAGCTGTGGCATGGCCGGAGGGGACAGGTGTGAAGTCAGAGGGCCCCAGGGGACCGTGTGGGTCAGCCAGCCCCGTTGGGAGAGGGAATACGCAGCAAGGACACAGCAGAGCTGCGGGCAGTTCTCTCTCAGGACCCAGATGAGTGTCCTGGGGCTGCCATAACCAAATGACCACACCTGGGGTTAAAACAACAGAGGTTTCTTCTCCCGAGTCCTGGAGGCCAGAAGTCCGAAATCCAGGTGTCGCAGGGTGGCGCTCCTTCCGAGGGCCCTGGAGGAGCCTCCCTGCCTCTTCCTGCTCCTGGCCGCGTGGCTCCACTCCCTCCGCTGTTGTCACATGGCCTCCTCCCTCTGTGTCCCTGCTTTCTCTTCCTAGGACACCAGCCATTGGATGGGCGCCCACCCTCCTCCAGTCTGACAGCTCAGCTAACTGTATCTGCAAAGACCCTATCTCCAAATAAGTTCACTTTCTAAGGTTCTGGGTGGACGCGCATTTTGGGGGACACTGTTCAACTCACTGCAGCGCCCCCCCCACCCCCAGTGAAGGGGACCGAGAACGTGACAGGGATTTGATGGGGGCACTGCACAGAACAGGGGCACAGGAGCCCCCACCCCACCCTGCCCGCCATCCTACAGGGAAGAGCCGCTTAATGACCAGCAGAGCCTCAGGGGACAGGTCAGAGCCACGGTGTCAGGAGTCGGGGGCGTCAGGGAGGTGGTGTGCCCTGGGCAGGAAGATGCAGAGTTACATCTATGCATTGCTCAGGGCCTGCAGGGAACACAGGGCACAGAGAAGTGTGGGGAGGGGACAGGTAACCAGCATGGATGGTGGGGTCCCTGTGTCTGCCCCTGCCCTGTCCCTTCACCCTCACACCAGGGACTTAACTCTCCTAACAATGAGGCAAGGAGATATGGTCACGAACCCATCTTACAGAGGAGAAGACGGACGCCAAGAGAGGTCAAGCGACTTGCCCAAGGTCACACAGGAGGGCTGGGGTCTGGGATTTGAACCTGTGGTTAGCTGACTCTAAAGTCCTTGCTTAAAAAGAAAGGCTCTTCATTATGAAACCCCCAGACATTCACAGAGGGAACAGAACCGTGCAGGGGTCCCCACGGGACCGGTTACTAACCTTCTGCTACTGCTGTTCCCCCACACCGCCTCTCCCCCATCCCTCCTCTCTGCTGCTGCTGTCACTTCACATTTTCTGCGTGTCAGTGTACGTGCAGTGAAATGCACCAGTCTGACAATTAGTAAATGTCCTGGACTGAAGTTAGTACAACTGTATGTGTGCTGCTATATTGTCTTCTTTTTGTTTATTTTCTTACTTTTCTAACAATGAGCAGGTACTGTTTTTATAATAAGGGAAAAAAACAATAAAATGATGATAAAAAGGTTCAAGATGTTCCTTTGGGCTGGCACCCTGTCCCCTCCATTCAGTGAAAAGGCTTCAGGACCCCCCACGTTCACTCAGTGCCTTTCACACCCCGGTCCTGAGTACCCAGGTCTCCCAGGACCCTCCGCTCCTCACTCCTGGGGAAGGCCAGGCAGCCTCCTCATGGGAGAGGAGGAGGACCCTCAGTGTGTGGGCTGAGCCCAGGATCGCTGCCCTAAATCCAGCCCCTGCCACCTGCTGGGGAACCCCAACACTGCCTGGATCCACGGAACCCCATCTTCAAAGGGAGAGTGGGGCCTCTCTGGGAGCGCCCTGAGCCTGCGCAAGGCTGGGCGAGGCCTCCTGACCCGCTGGGGAGGCTGGCCTGCAGAGGGGTTGCCAGGCGACCAGTGAAGGCTCCTCCCAGGGCAGCTGTGGGAGGCCACGTTGCCCGGCAACCAGGTGGCAGCGTCCCTTGAGCCCGGACCACGCAGCTGTGCCCAGCCCTGCCCGGCTTCTCCCGGGCCTGTGGGACCCCTGGGGCCCCTCCTTGTTCCCTGAGACCAGGACAGCGGGCACCTCTGGTCACAATGAACATTGTTCTCTCCAGGTGAGTGGCCCTGCGCTGGCCCCGGCTGGGAGCGGGGGGCAGTGGGGTTTGGGGCCTGATGCACCAGGAGACATGAGGGCAGCCGGGACTGGGGAGGGGGAAGTGGTAAGGGGTGCTCCCCCTCCCACCCCACCCGGCCTCACGGTCAAGGGTAGCCAACTTCACAGAGTCCATCCCCTCCTTCCCTCACTCACCTCCATCTGGAAAACCCCTCTTCATGCCTCAGAGCCCCACCAGGCATCACCCCCTCTGTGTCCCCGACCACACTGGCTCCAGCACGATTCTGTCACAGCTCCCTCACAGCTCGTCTGCCCCTTAATCAGTTGTTTGCATGCCTGGTTCTTCTGAAGGTGGCAGACTGGAAGGTGCCTCTGAATCACTTGATTTACTTCTTTAAAATGCAGCCCCCTGGGCCCCGCTCACAGGGATTCTGGCTCACGTGGGAGTGGGGGCCTGGGAATCTGCATGTTTACTTGTGCCCCAGGTGATTCTGGTTGAGGGGGTCCAAGGACCCCACCTGGAGGAACAGAGACTGTGGCGGCTGTGCGACCTTGAGCAAGACGCTTCACCTCTCTGGGCCTCAGTTCCCACAGTTTTAAAACGGTGACAGAAATAGTGCCTGACTTCCAGAGTAATGCGCGAGGAGAGCTCTGCACGCTGAGGTGCTGCCCGAGTCAGGGTTTGTTGGGAGGAGGACAAGGGCCGCTCTTCCAAGTTTCCAGCTTCAGGGATGTGATGAGCGGGTTGCACGGGGGACTTTGGTCAGACGTGGTGGAGGGGTGACCACCTGGGGTGAGGGGAGGAGAGGGTGCAGAGAGGAGTGGGAGGGAGGCCGCATCTCCTTGTCAGCATCTCCGATGGGCAGACACCAGGCCAGCGGCACATCGAGAAGAATCAGCAAGCTCCCCATCCCCCCAGATGTGGAGGGAGAGAAACCAGGCATGACGGGGAAGGGACAGGGGACGTGCCAGAAGGACAGATGTAAGGCCCAGGGCTGTGGGGGGTACGGAGGGATGAAGGGGGACCAGGCATTCTTGGGCAGTGACACCGCTCTCTGTGACGCTGAGACGGTGGCTACGGGGCACCGTGCACTTGTCCAAACCCCCAGAACATGCAGCACCGAGAGCGGACCCTCGTGTAAACCGTGGGCCTTGGGGAAAGACAGTGCATCAGTACTGGCCCCCCGTCGTAACCAGTGAACCCACCACCGCGGGATGCTAATGATGGGGACACCATGTGTGCTCCAGGGAGAGCGCACGAGAACTTTCCACTTGGTGTTTCTGTAAAGCTAAAACTGGTCCATAAAAAACACTTCAGGGTTCAGAGCAGGGAGAGAATTTCGACAGCAGGGGAAAAGTTAGAATGGGGCATCTCCGAGGGAAGAGCCACTGCAGCCAGGACAGTTGGAATAAGGAATAACTCTGCCAGGAGGACAGGAGCCTCTGAAGGGTTGCAGGGAGGGGAGGGCTGGTTTGGGACCAAACCCGCGTCTGCAGTCCTGCCCGGCCACTGAGCAGCCCGAGACCCGCTGGTGTCCCTCATCTGCCTTGACGGGCTGACACTGGAACCTTGAGGGTCATCTGGGGACTGGGTGCCTGGCAGGAGAGTGATAGGGGGGTGCTCCCAGGTCGCTGTCCTGACCTGGCTGGGCATCACTGCCCGGAACGGCCCTCAGGCCCCCGCCTCCCCAGGGACAGCCAGGTGAGGGTGATGGAGAACATGGTGACCAACACCGAGAAGTACTTTGGCCAGTTCTGCTCGCTGCTGGCCGCCTACACCCGCAAGACGGCGCAGCTGCGGGACAAGGCCGACCAGCTGGTCACACGGCTCCTCGACTTCGCCAACACCGAGAACGCCGAGATGCGGGCCACTCTGCGGAACTTCGCCGAGGACCTGGCCAAAGTGCAGGACTACCGGCAGGCCGAGGTGGGTGCGGCCGCCCCGGAGGCCCCGGCCACGGTGGGTCAGGTCCCAGGGCTGGCGCTGCCCTGTGGGGGCCACAGCCGATGGACACGTCTCCTCCAAAGGTGTCCTCGAGGGTGGACACTTACACTGCTCCCTCCCAGGGTCACTCCTCCGTTTGCAGGCCGGAGGGCCAGGAGGCTCCGCGGAGGTGGACGAGGTGTGGGCGAGGCGAGGAGCCCCAGGGAGTCAGGCCTGCGGGCCACCCTGCGGGTCCATGAGGCCCGGGCAGGAGGCGCATTCCCAGGGGCCTGGACCTCGAGGAATGCTGGGGGCTGAGGGCAAGGAGGCTGCAGCGTGGTAGGGAAATAAGTTAGAATAAAAATCTCCTGCCAGCCCAGAGAAATCCTCTCTGTGATCGTAGAAAAGAAGAAAACAGCTTTTCTATGGAATAGGCGTTAAACCAGACTGTAATGCCACCTGATAAGTGATGGCAGGGACAGGCAGAAACCTCCCTCCCCTACATAACCAGGCACAAAGAACCCATCACACGCACGTTCTCAAGACAGGTGTAACTTGCCCCCAGGTAAGGGAGTGGAGGGCGAGTTTGTCACACAGGACTTCCTAATTCCACCTGGTGAGTGGGCGGCCACCTGTGTGAGCCGATGTCTTTATCCAAAGGAAAAGTAAAACTTCTCCCACCTCTGTGACAGCTCGGAGCCTGGCAGGGGAAGCTCCCTGAGCTGCCTCCCTTGATGTCTGCATGTCAAAGAGATGACCGCCAGGCCCACTGTAAAATCTGCAAGAGGCTTACTTAGGTTTTCAAAAGGTCTACGTCCATCTCAAAGGGACAGGGCGAGTTTGCTACAAGAAATGCTGTGAGGGAAGGCGGGGGAGAGTCCCTTTCCCTTTGGGCTCCTGGGAAAATCAATTTTTTTTAGATTTGTGCTTACTCTTACAAGGGTCATCAGCCTTGGCAAAGGAGAGGAGGGGGCTGGTGGAGATCCCAGCCTCCCGGCCCATCCGGCGTTCAGGGGACCCCTGTCCTCAAGGCATCAGCCTCACCTGGGAACTTGTTAGAAGTGCAGATTCCTGGGCCACACCCTGGACCTGCTGAGTCAGAACCTGGGGCTGGTGTCTGGCACCCAGGGTTTAAGGAGCCCGTGGTGGGGGACGGGGCGGGGAATCCTACGCCTGCTGTAGCGACACCCATGGACTCAGAACAATGCTGGGCGCGGGCTAAGTGCTTAGTCAACACCAGCGTTCACGGTGATCGCTGTTACTAGCACTGATATTGTTCATTCGAGTGTCTAGCATCAGGCTGGGTGCGTAGGCACTGGCTCAGGGCTGAGAGGGTCCCCCTCACTGACCCTGCAGTGTCCTTGGGGGCTGCACAGTGCAGTCAGCTCCGAATCTGCGCCACTCCGTGTTCCGTGATCCTAAGGTAGACTGGAGGGCTGAAACAGCGATGGGTCCCCGGGAAGTGCATGAAGCCGTGGTGCAGACAGTCATTATACCCATTTTACAGGCCAGGAAAAGAGGCTCCGAGAGATGAAATGTATGGCCCAGCCCTTGGGAGGCAGAGGCTCAGGCAGCCCCTGAGCCCAGGCTGGTGCTCGCAACCCCAAGGGGTGAGGGAGGGCATCTGGTGCTCCCCCTGCCCCCCATGGGCCCCTGCCATGCAGCTCCAGATATGCAGATGGCTCTCTATAAATGCAGGCTGGAGGCCGCGCAGCCTCCAGGCACCTGTCTGGCTCCGTCCGCCCTGAGTCTGCGTGTCCGCGTTCCCCCAGGTCGAGAGGCTGGAGACCAAGGTCGTCAACCCCCTGAAACTCTACGGGGTGCAGATCAAGCAGACTCGGGTGAGTGAGGGCCCCTCGTGGCGGGCGGGCAGCGGCTGGGGCTGGGCGCTGGATCCCCGGAAACACCCTCCTCTCTCCTTAGGCCGAGATCAAGAAATTCAAACGTGTCCGGGATAACGAGATCAAACAATTGGAGAAGCTGGAGAAACTGAGGCAGAAGTCACCCTCGGACAGGCAAATGATCGTATCCTTCCCGGAAGTGGGGCCGCTGGGCGGGGGCCGTTTGTCACGGGCACCCCCTGTGTAGGGCGGCATGGGCCACCCAGGGGCTGCTGATTCACCTGGCTCCTTAACGCCCCGTACTCAGTCCCAGGTGAGTGTCCCGTGTCTGTTTGGGGACGGTGGAACGGCTCAGGTAACGAATGGCCTCATGTCATGGCGAGGTGAGCTCTTCCCTGGGCAGGTGCCTGGGGGTCAGAGGTGCGGGAAGCTGTCGGCTGGGGGCGGGGGCCCTGGGTTCTGTCCCATCAGGGACCCTATTCAGCCAGTCAGCGAGTCACTCCCCTCCACGGCCCGTGACCTTCTCAGGGTCACCTGTTTAATGCTCCCACGAGGTGGGCACTTCCAGAGGGGGAGACCAAGGCTGCTAAAGGTGCCTTGCCCAAGGTCACACAGGGAGTTAAGGGGCAGACCCAGAACTCGACTCTGAGGGTGTCTGACTCTAAAATCCAGGCTCTTCACGTGCTGGGTCTGGTGTGGGGTCAGATCACATAGATGTCCATCAAGGGAACCAATGACTTAATTACCTAAAAACGTTGCACACGCTGGAACTAATCACCACCGAACATGGCGCATCTGTTTTAAGAATAGCTCTGTGGGGGGCCGGCCCCGTGGCTTAGCGGTTAAGTGTGCGCGCTCCACTACTGGCGGCCCCAGTTCGGATCCGGGCGCGCACCGACGCACCACTTCTCCTGCCATGCTGAGGCCGCGTCCCACATACAGCAACTAGAAGGATGTGCAGCTATGACATACAACTATCTACTGGGGCTTTGGGGAAAAAAAGGAGGAGGATTGGCAATAGATGTTAGCTCAGAGCCGGTCTTCCTCAGCAAAAAGAGGAGGATTAGCATGGATGTTAGCTCAGGGCTGATCTTCCTCACAAAAAAAAAAAAAAAAAGAATAGCTCCGTGGGTGCCCCTCCTCAGTTCTTACAACAGCCCTGCAAAGCAGGTCTTAGCACTGTCCCCCTTTACAGGCAAGGAAACCGAGGCTCAGAGAGGTTAAGTGACCTGCCCAAGGTCACACAGCTCGTAAGCAGGTCTGTCCAAGCATCGCCTGACCCTTTAGCCACGGTCCTACTCGGCCACTCCTTCAATGACCACACTGGCGAGAGACGCCCACGACGCAGGGGAGCTGGACCCAAAGTAGCGCGAGGAGGCTGAGGATGACCCAGAATGGATCCACCCTGTGACAGTTCCTATCTCCGGGCCAGGCGGAGACCAGTGTGCAGAGGGCCTCGGTGGACGCCAGCCGCACCACCCACCGGCTGGAGGAGACGGTCGACACCTTCCAGAAGCAGAAGCTGAAGGACCTACAGGTAGGGCTAGTCGGTCCTGTGTTGGGAGTACCGTAGGCTGCCTTTGTGTGTTTCTGTGTGTGCCCATGTGTGCCCGTGTGTGCACACCTGTGTACGTGTGAGTGCTTGTGTGCACACGTGTGTGCCCATGTGTGTCTGTGTGTGCACCTGTGTATGTGTGAGTGCGTGTGTGTGCACACATGTGTGTGTGCCCCTGTGTGTGTGTATGCATATGTGAGCTGGTGCCCACTCGCTCAAGCTCAGAGCCCGGGCTCCCAGGACAGTTAATCCTGGCCTGATCCTGGCTGCGGGGGGTAGAGGCCAGCTGCTCAGGGCAGCTGTCCGGCACAGCTGGCCTGCCCGGAAGCCAGCACTCACGGCCCTGCCCCCACCCGGAGAACCTGGCAGAGTCTGTGTCCCCAGCCCCTTCCTTTGCAAACGGGGGCCCGCGGGACTTGCCCTGACTCCTCCTTTCCTCCCTGAAGCTCTAAACACACGGGCGTCTTCCTTCCTCCACTGGGAGCCCCTCCAACCCCACCCGGAATCCTGGGCCCGGAGCCCAGCTCTTGCAAGTGGGCCTCAGGGAGTCGGGGTCTCTAAGGACGAGTGGATCACAGAGGTCCCTGGACTCGCTCTGATCCTCTCTAGTCCATTTCCCAAAGTGCAGCCCCAGGCATCTCACAGAGGCAGCTCCACTTTGTCACTCCTGTGACACCCTCCCCTGGCTTCCCTTGTCCCAAGGATAAAGGCCGAAATCCTCCCCACGGCTCTGGAAGCCCCAGCCCAGCCTTGCAGCCTGTCTAAGCTCAAGTGCACCAAACTCCTTCATACCTCAGGGTCTTTGCACAGGCTGTGCTCTCTGTCAGGGAGGCTCTGCCCGTACTCTGCACGAAGTTAACACCTCCTCATCCTTCAGGGAAACTTGTCTGGACCCCCAGACCCGTCCAACCCTGTTGTTAATACACTCTGCTCTATCCCTCTGGGGGCTGTTATCCCAGGGGGACGGATTAATTGTATCTTTAATTCACTCATTAATCTAACAGATGTTGAATACACACCTACTGTGTGCCAGGCGCTGTGTCTGAGGCTGGGGCACCAAAGCCAGAAAGCAGGGCACCCTGTCTTCATGGAGTTGACGCCCCTGGGGGAGACCCGTGATGGGTGCCACTCCTCAGGGAGTGGAGGGCGTGGTGGGGACCTCACTGCTCCACGCCTGTCTCCTCACTGCATGTCGGTGACACAGGGTGGACCTCCACCCATCGTGTCCCCTGCTGGGGCCTGGGCACCAGGTCCAGGGCCTGGCCCTTCGTGAGCACTCAGTAAAGATTCGGGAAATGAATGAGAGAACAAATAAACAAATGGACGAATGCACAAGTCAGTGAAACAGTGGTAATTAGTGCTCAAGCCTTTATGTTGCAGGCAGAGCTGAGAACCCCCAGCTGACTGTCATTAGGCATCTGCTGTTTACAGGCCCGGAAGCAGGGCTCCTGGGGTGCCAGCAATAGTCTCCAACAAGATTCTCGGCCCCACAGGCAGGGGCTGACGGAAGCACGCGGTTTAAAACGGGCATCCTTTAAACTTCTGGGATTAAGTTTGTAAGAGACGCTTATTCAAACCATCCCCTAAAAAGCCCTCCAAATTCTGAAAAGATCAAAACCAGAACTTGAAATAATGATTACTGCCATATTGGTTTTAGGTCTCAATTCTAATAAAACGATCATATTTACAACATAGCTCTCCAGCCCCTGTTAAGAGACTGTGAGTATCGCTTTCATACGGGATCACATACCTGGGTGTATGGAAGTCACCCGGAAGGCTCCTTACAAGGCAGGTCTCGGGTGGATGGGCCCACCATGGATCCCATTCAGTGGGGCTGGGTGGCAGAGAATTTGCACTTCTGACAAGCTCCCGGGTGGGGCTGGTGCCGATGCGGGCAGCACAGACGGGGAGCTGCCGCGCTAACTGCATCTCGTAGGGCTTTGTGAACTGGGACCACGCGTGTCCCTACTGTGCAGACGAATAAACTGAGGCTCAGAGAGGATAAGTGATTTCCTTGGGGCCACAGGCCAGTATATGGCAGGATAAGGCCTCGACTCTGCCTCCTGATTTGCAGCTGTTCCCACCAGCACTGCCTCCCAGGGGACGAGGGGAGGATGTGGGGGGCAGGCATCTCCATCACAGTCTTGGGCACCCCCTTCCCTTTCTTCTGTCAGGCTGGCTTAGGGGCTTGCTCGGGCCTACCTGCCCCAGGGGCTTCCCGTGTTACGTGAAGTGGTATGTTTCCAAACTGCGGGCTCCTCCCCCAGCATCAAGCCTGTGTCTTGCTGGGGCCTAAAGCAAAGTAGGAACTTCTGCTAGAGCCCCGCACACAGTAGGAGCTTGTGCTAGGCCCAGCACACAATAGGAGCTTGTGCTAGGCCCCGAACACAGTAGGAGCTTGTGCTAAGCCCCGCACACCACAAGAGCCCCCGCTGGGGCTGAACACACAGCAGGAACTCTGTAAGAGCTTGCCGAACCGAGCCGAAACATCTGATCAAAAGAAGCCAACATCTCTATCACTAATTACGTTCTGGCGAGCTGGCTTAGGTTGTGGGGCCTCTGGGCTGAGCAGTGTCTACCAGCAGTGCCCCTCCCTTTCCCGGAAGACCCACTCACAGCCCCTGGGTGACAGCGCTGAAGGTTTTGTAGCCATCAACCTGTCTTCGGATGCGAGAAGCTAAGGCTGTATGGATAAGCCCAGGTGACAGGTCTGAGACAGTGCCCCTCAGAAAATCCTCTCAAGAAACGCGCCCTCTACCTTTCCAGAACAATCCCTGCGCAAGGCAGCTTTTGAATGGGAATGTGTTATCTGTTCAATCAAAATTAAATTAAATGAAAAATAACACATTGACCTAGGACCTGTCCCACAGGGACCACTAAGCCCCTGGCACCCTGGCCTGTCCATGCTCGGGGTGATGCCAGGACCCTCCTGCTGACATTGTTGCTTATGTGATCCTGGCTTCTCTCCCCACAGAAAATCTTCTCGGACTTCGTAACCATCGAGATGGTGTTCCACGCCAAAGCGCTGGAGGTGTATTCCGGTGCCTTCCAGACCCTGGAGAGCTACGACCTGCAGAGAGACCTGGAGGTAGGTCTCGACACCCCATTTCCTCCCGGTGGTGGGGGTGGAATTCTATTTCGGTCCTGTCTTGATATGAGCAGCTTTTGTTGGCAACGTTTTGCAATATCTATAATGTTGAAGACTCATCCTGATGAACTGTTGTTAATATCCGCCCCTGGGTGCCAAACCGAGGGATTTCCCAACACGCTCTGTCTGGAATCTCCACGTGGCCGTCGTCACTTGGGTGTTTGGAAACAAACAAATGGATCAACACGACAGAAAGAGTATTGCTGTGGTTTGGACATAGATGCAGGGCTTCTTGTCTGCCCCGTCTGATCTGATCAACATCCAGCACGAGCTGTCTGGGTTCTCTATAACCCACTGCACCAGACCTCGTGGCAGAAACTAGCAGTCATCTGTCGTGGTTCTTTTGTGGCTCTGGGGCTGGCACAGCCTGGCGGTCCTCACTTGGGTCTCTCATCGGTGCTCAGTTGGTGGGTGGCTGGGCTGGAGTCTCACAGGCTCCCTCCCTCATGCCTGGCAGATGACGGCTGCCATCTGGGTACAGGACAGGCCACGTGATTTACAGAGCTTGGTGCAAAACGAAAATGTGGGCCCTCTGTTCAACAACTATTAAGAATTTGAAGACGGTGACACGAGAATCCTGAGCTCGGGGCTCTGGGCGACTGCATGAGCCACACATCCACAAAGCACCCCCGTCTGGGTCCCCAGTGGGGTCTGCAGCCCGAATACCTGCCCATGGCCTCTCCACGTGACGTGGGCTTCCTCACAGCGTGGCGGCTGGTTCCAAGAGCGAGCATCCTGAGACAGAGCCAGCGAAAACTGTATCACCTTTTATGACCTAACCTCGGAAATAACTTGGGGTCGCTTCTGCCACATTCTATACCTTAGAATGTGTGTCACTAAGGCCACATTCAAGGGGAGGAGAATTATATTCCGGCTCCTGATGGGAGAAGTGTCCACGAATTTGAGGATAAGATTTAAAGCCACCATTTGAGGTTAAATGCAGATTGATTGAGCTCCTCTCTATGATATTCCTTTAGAGGCGAGGTTATCACTAATTTTCCTGTGTGACTATGGACGTGTTACCTAGCCTCTCTGGGCCTCAGTTTCCCCATCTATAAAAAGGGCTGATAATGCCCACTGACTGGACTGTGGTAGATCAGCCGGGATAACGAACAGGAGGCTCCCAGGCGAGACCTGGTGCAGGTGGGGGTCCTAGCAGTGTTGGCTGCAGACAGCCTTGCGTCCCACCATCTCCTCTTCCCACCCCCACCCGGTCTGTGTTTCCCAATCGGATCCAGCCCACCCTGGTCTCTCCTTGGCAGGATTTTAGAGCCAAGATGCGTGGAGTTTATGGGCTTTACGACGCTCGGCCGCTCACAGACACCACCCCCTCCCCAGGGGTCCCGTGGTCTCTCCCAAGCCAGGTGAGCTCTGGGGGTGGGACCGTTACTCCTGTGACAAAGTGAAGTGACCAGGGGGAGGCGGTCTGAGAACACGGGTGTTGAAGGAGACTCCGAGAAGGGAGCTCTGCCTGAGGAATGTGGGCGGCCGCCCTGAGTCTGACCTCGCCTGCCTGGAGCTGGAATCAACAACCCATGGGACCATGGGTCCGGAGTGCCCCCTAGAGGCGTCCTGAAGTGTGTCCACCCGAGAAGCGGAGGGCTCTGGACCTGCCACTCCTGCCTCCAGCCCTCCGGCCCATGGGGTTCAGAAGTCAGAACTTCTCAGATTTTAGGAAAATAATCCAGTGCCTGTGCTACATGTCAGTTTACGAGCCCAGCAAGGCCTGTAATCGGGCACACTGATATTTCTGCAGGGAAACCTCCGAGGGTTCAACCAAGTAGGATAAATGAAGTCGCTAGGCAGCCTCATGCCAATCAGGGTGGGGTTAATCAGCAGTGAGTGGGGGGCAGGGGGTTTACCCCACAGTGTGGGGAGGGGGCGGGGGTGTCTCCTGGCTTTCTGAGTAGTTGTCTCTAAAGGCAGTGGAGGAAGGACGGCCACAGCCAGACTGCCTGGGTCCAAACCCACTTCTCCCAAGCTGTGTGACCTTGGGAAAGTTCCTTAACCTCTCTGTGCCTTAGAGTCCTCACCTGCAAAGTGAGGCTGATAATAGTAACCCCTTCATAGGGTTGTCGTGACCATTAGGTGAGCAAATCTACACGGAGCACTTAGAAAACAATACTTGCCCCCGTCATTATTATTATTGATGTTGTCGTGATGGTGATTGTTATTCAGAGTGCTCAGAGCACCATACGGAGCCAGAGAAAAGAAGAGGAGGCCAGTGAGGACGACTCTACTGATGAGGACCCCGTGGAGGACCTCAGGGGACAGGAGCAGGGACTCTGTCAATAGGAAGAGAACTCCCCAGTCAGAAAAATGGGGGCCGACACTGGATGCTGGGGGCTCTGCTGTGTGCCCTCGGGCAAGTCACGTGTCCTCTGGGCCTCGGTCTCCTCGTCAGGACAACAGGGACAACACCGCTCACCTCCCTGGTGGCTCCGGGCGTCAGTGTGTCCAGCACGGTGCCCGGTGCATGACAGGTGCTCAATAAACACGGGTGTGTCTTAACCGCATTGTGTGGGGTCTCGTCTCCCGCCCTATGACCCGGGGACCCCGGGTGTTGAAACCTGGGGACTGTTGAGAGTGTGGCGCTTAGTCCCCACGGTCCCCGGAACAAAGTCCCACAAACGGGGGACGCCTCTTCTCCCACAGCACTGGGGGCCTGCAGGCCAGGAGGAGCGTGCCGGCGAGGCTGGAGCCGCCGGAGGGCTGTAGGCGCTCTGTCCCGGCCGCCCCGGCTCCTGGTGCTGCTGAGGATCCTTGGCTCGCAGACGCGTCACTCTGACCTCTGCCTCCGTCTTCACAGGCGTCTCCCCGTGTGCGTGCCTGTGTCCACATTCCCGCTTTTTATAAGGACACCAGTCATTGGATTAGGGGTCCACCCTGTGCCAGCGTGACCTCGTCCTAACTAATTGTACCTGCAAAGGCTCTGTTTCCAAATAATGTCACATTCTGAGGTCCTGGGAGTTAGGACTTCAACATGAGTTTTGGGGGGACACGATTCACCCCACAACACACGGACATGCTGTGCAGGGATGACCTTGGGACGGGGGACACATCACAGAAGCCCAGGGGGTGGAGGGGTGATGCAGGTGAAGGGAGGGGTGGGGGCCTCTGGGTACACACACGTGGGGAGCGAATTCCCGACAGTGCTGGGGGCATCGGTGCCCTGGTCACTCTGTCCCCAGTACACTCCCCGCTGCCTGCTGAAGACAGCTGCTGGGAAGAGTCCGCCCCATGGCGTCTCGAGCTGGCCTGGTGGATAAACGCTCTCCTCTGGGGCGAGCCCTTGATTTGATCCCCCACTTGGGGTCCCCTGATTTCCTCACCAGCAAAGTGGGGAGCACAAAGCCTTCCTCATGGGACATTGCAGGATTAACGTCCTCACCACAGTGATTTTTTTTGTGTGTGAGGAAAATTAGCTCTAAGCTAACATCTGCTGCCAATCTTCCTCTTTTTGCTGAGGAAGACTGGCCCTGGGCTAACATCC